GCACCATGGATTTCCTTTCGTGCCCTCTCAATTGTCTTTAAATGTAAGCAATTACTTTTCCTAGTCGTTCTGCCACTTGTTTCATGAATACTTGGCTTATCTTAGTGCCCACATATATTGGAATTCCATGCAACCCATATGATCTCGAATACTACTTTTGATTTTTTACTTCCCGTTCATTAGCCACGATAGGTGCCCCTTTCTTACGGAGTGAATAAATTGTTCTAATAAGACTGGTGTTACAAGATCATTTCTTCTATAATATCCAATTCAGGTTGTGATTCTTAGGTCGAAGCCTTCTTCTTTATTTCCTTAGCTAGTCTTCTGTTGTCGTACTTAGGGAGACCTTCTAACTCTTGTAAAGTTGCGAAATTATTACGTCGTATACCTGATAGAATATTTGATGTTCTTACTCTCCTATAATTATTTTAGTTACTTACCTCCGTGCCATTGTGCTCGTAGGGTTACTTCCGAACTCAAACTTTGATTATCTCCCCAATGGTACTTTCTTTTATTTTCGTAACACTTATACGATACCTTTAACTACCCCAACTCCTATCTGAATATTTCTCAAGGATTACGATCTCGTATCTGCGAGACTAAATTCCCTATGCTGGATATCACTATGTTTATCTTACACAATCAGCTGATTTATCTGTGGCCTCTTATTTAGCCATAATTAGGCTCTTCCTGAATGAACTACTAACTACTCGTTGGTCCATTCTCACAACTATATTCCACGTAATTTCTCTTAAATTACGTCCTTTCTCTTAACTTACCGCTCGCATTGGCTCCTTATGTATCAAGTGTTCATTCGCACTTATTTATCAATAACATCCCCGGCAGGAACCCTTATTGTCGTCGTGCTTGCATAATGTTCTGCAGTTGTAACATATCTGTAGGATCTAAATAAATGCAATCTCATTCCTTTCGCTTTTTCACCGCATTCCTCCTTTACTATTTCATAGTTATATCATCATCTTGGGCGTCTTTTCACATATTCACTGACATCTTACTTGCCTTACGATGACCCTTCTGTACCAAGGATAACTAAATTTCTTACGCACGAGGGTGACACCTAGTGTAACTGGCATACTTAGTCCTTAAGCCTAACTCTACTCACAGTGCTTGCTTTAGGGAAGCGTCTTCTTGAATGACCTTTAAAATTTATTCTTTTGTTGTCCATTCCATTATTGCCAGAACGCAATCTCTGAAATTCTCACGATGCAGACTATTATCGAACCCTTTGATCCCTAACTTATGTTTGGTTTCATCTTGTTTACTATCCCATATTAATTTCTATTACTCTAGGGTCTAACTTAGCCTTCTAGTAATCACGCTGGAGTCACTAACTCATTTCTCGGAGTGAGGATATAACTTTATGGCTTATATTCTTTTATAGTCTCAAGGCTTGTCTCCTCTTTTTTTTTCACATGACTATAGACTCTGTCATCTTGTCATATTTCGATTTACCGTTATCAGCCATTTACCACATCTTACTCATAATGCTTCATTTACTCTCTTCTTAATTGTCTTGCTAGTATTTCTGTCTATCACCTTATTATAAAAACTTCAACAAAATACTCTTTAAATTTTAGCTCCCCTTGCTCCATCCACTAGGTCTTTGGGTTGCCTAATGTTCTCTCTTTACTAGGGACGGGATACTAAGGTAAATATTTATTCTTTCTAGGATTCCAGTGCATATCTTCTAAATTTTCTGAATATTCTAGTATTCATGTCTAACTTTACTATTCTAGAGTGCATCATCTGGGTGTCTCACAAGGAGAACTATTACCATATTTGCAATATCCTTCTAAAATGTCAGCTAACGTTAACAATCCATCGACCAAATTGGGTTACTCTAACCCCAGTTGGATCCTGATATCCCATCAGGTTTAATTGAAAGATTGTTTTGTGGAAAGAGTAAATTTCATGTGAAGACTTTCGTTAGAAAAATCAATCTTGAGTAACTAATGGTTTGAAATTAGAGAAGAAAGAACGTCGTCATGACAAAATTCAAGCAGTAATAATTGCACCATTCGAAGTCATTTTCTAAGTAGAAATATAGAAAATTTTCTGGGCGCTAGACTCCCGCATCCTCTCTTCTTCCCCTTAGTTTCTCTGTTCGAGCATTCCCACACGTCATATGAATAACATCACCTCGTGGTATATTTAGTTAGCCTCCAAAAACATTAGTACATGAACGCTTTCTAATCTTATTCGAAAATGGGTAATAGTTGCAAGATCAATTATTTTGGAGAATTTGTCACTCAAATAATTTTAGAGTCTAGAAATTCCGTTTTCGAATTTCTAAAACACTTCAAGGTAACATTTTAGTTTTGAAGCTACACCGAGATATGCTAACCGATGCAATCGTTCAGACATTGAATCTACAAAGAGTGATGAGATTATGAAAATAATGATAGTGGAGTATATGTAAGAACAAAAGTAGTTGATGGATCTACATTAACATAAAGAGTACACCTTTTTTTAATAATTGTGATTGTTATGAAGGGGTATTTAGGTTTTCTAAGCTTTAGTTTTTTTAGTCAATTAAATAGGATATTTAGTAAAAACAAGATGGGCATTTTGGTAATTTAACTTTTTGACTTAAGGGCTTCTCACTTTTAATATAGTACTAGTCTATATGAACGTGCTTTGCACGTTTTCCTTAGACAATAATCACAAACAGCGATATTATGTAATACTATTTTTAATTGCGTTAAATTTATTTTATGATGTTCAAGAAATGTTATTAGATTGTATTCACTTAATACCTCTTTAAACATGATGTCATGGTATATATTCCTTTATTCTTCTTGCCCATTTGGAAAATGTGTCATGACAAATAATCTAACATTAGGGATTGATCGATCATATAATTTATTTATTGTTATTATAATTATAAAACGTATTGAAAATATTTACTAAATATAGTTTTATAAATACCAGTCATTTTTTGGTTTGAGAAGTCAAGTTCTGATGAGAAAGGCACGTGTGATAGCTTATTGGTCCCCCAAAGTTCCACATAAATTATAAAGGAAAAGAAATTATTATACTCATCACAGGTGAGGTCTCATTTTAAATGATTATATAACAACGATCTAGTTGCTCGTACTATTCCTCTCATCTTCTCTTAGTTAGGTACTAAGAACACAACTTTAATTTATTTATGTGTGTATCTCTATCTTATTATAATGGTAGCATCTGAGGATTATTTTTTTAATTTAGTTTCTTATATATGAGTGATTCACATGATTAAATATCAAGTATAATTGTATTGAGATATTGATAAACTATTTAACCCTTTAAAAAATATTTAAATTTGGATGAAATAATGATTAACTGATAATTAGGATTTGAAGTAAACTATGACATTGCCACTTTAACGTTCCAAGAATCTATTACCTTTTTATAATTAATAAATCTAAATCCCACACAAACTGGGGAAAAATAACTGAACAAAGTATTGTGACCCAAAAAAGAAGATACGAAGTATCTGTTATCCAAGAAGAAGTAGGCAAAAAACTTTGCATAGAGATAAAGAGTATTTTGGGTTTTCTTTATTTCTTAGTATTTTCTTTTGGTTGTAAATTATTGGAGAGGAGGGTAGCTGCGGGTTGGTGTGGGAAGATGAATCCAAAATTAATTTGGATTGGAGTATTCCACCTTCACACTCTTTTCTTTTTGATCGGTGTATGTGCAATTTAAATAGGGGAAAAAATTTAGCCTTGGGTGATTTATAATTATATCCTTAAATTATACAAATATTTAAGGTTATAAAAGTCGATCAATATTTTAGGAATATTGTAGTCGTTCAACATTTAGCCTAAATTATTCGTGCTTTTATAATAAAATATAGATAGATAGATATAGATAGATTATAAGATGGTAAATTGTTCTCTTTCCTGTGTATTCTTTACTCATTTTCTATCTTTAGATTTGTTACAAAATGTGGAAATGGAGGTAAATTCATTATACTGCCCGTGAATATATTAAATCCTATTTAGAGACGATCTAATTACAAAAGCCAGTCTTGAGATTTAGATACATAACACTTATTTGTTATAAAACATCATGCATCTTAATTTTCATGTTATTAGTTCTACGACCATAGTGTAAAAGGGTTATTATCTATAAAATGTGGCTATCTTTTAAATAAGTTGATAGTGTAAAAAGCTTTTGTACTGTCAGCATCAATTGTTATAAAAATGGTTTACCGTGTTTTTGAGTTTTCTTTTCTAGCCGTTGCTTAGATAAGGGAAGGATGTAAGTATGTGTCAGCTCAAAAAGAAAGGTCTTAAGATTTGGCCAAAATTTTGGCAGATCTAGCCATTTGGACAAACATTAAAGAAAGGTTAGGCTAGAAATTGGCCGGAAAAATAATAATTAATTCCTTGTTAAATATGATCCTGAGATATCTTGAAACACGACCAAAGATTTTTCCATTACAAACAAACATAAAACGTCAGAGTCATGAGGATGACTTTTTTGGCCAAAGGAACCGTAAGGTAGTGAATGATGCATTCATACGCCTCCTCCTCTATAGGATTATAGCCTAACCTCTTAAATCTTAGCAAACTAACATTAATTGTCCATTTTTGACTTTAACGAAAAATATATAAAGTATATATTTTACAATTTTATCCATAATAATAATAGCATTTCTATATATTTTGGGAAATGATTTCAGGAAGGAGTAGATAAAGATTAGGGTCCCGTAAATTAATATGTAATATGTATATTTGTTATCACTAAATCAAAGTTGATTTATACATATTCACGTTAATCATAATATAAATTATTATGATTTGACGTAGATTTAGGGTGCAAATTAAATATATATGTTTTAACAAACAAACTCATGCCCTCACGCTTCTCCATCTCCAAGTATATATATACTAATGTGTTCAATTTATTGGTTGCACGTGTACGACACAACTGGTAAGCAAATTTTCATGTCTCTATATACTTGCCTCGTCAAAAAGATAAACAAATACTTTTGTTTCTTCCTTTTTTTAAAAAAAAATTTATCAACTATCAAGGAATCTGGCGGGGTTCTTATTAGGACTTTCTCTTGGATTTCATAGCATATAGCGTATGTAGTTGCCTTTGGAGCTAATTTACCTGTGCAGAAAGAAGGTGGAGATTGACTTTGCTTTTCTTAACCTTATGAACAAAGTCTCCAACCCAAGATTAATTATTTTTCAACTGATTTTCTCTTTCTTTCTTTTATGGAAAATTAGATGGAGATAATTAAGTAGCCCTTTTTTGCTAATCATGCTTAAAGTCTGAATCTGAATGTATGTATTTGTTTTGGTGAAGGTACAAAATCACAAAGTGATGGAATCGTTGAGGGCATATTTGAAGAGTCCAATGGGTCCAAAAACAACTCACTTTTGGGGTCCTATGGCCAACTGGGGATTTGTCGTCTCTGTATGTATATATGCCTAATTCTCAACTCATCTTTTTCTAATTATATATAAGTACAAGTTACGAAGTTTTAGATATGTCTCAAATATTAATTAATGATTTTGTAATTAGGGAATGATGGATGCAAATAAGCCCCCCGATGCAATATCTGGGAACATGACTGCAGGTGAGACCCTTTTGCTTTATATATTTATGTAAGGGAAAATCATGGTCTTCTGCATTTGAGCTAATTAAGATCCCCTTTTGCTTAATGATTTCAATACAAGTATTATAATTGAATTTGATAATATAACTACTTCTACTTGATGCATGTGTTTAGTCATCGATATCAACATTTTTTCTGCTAAACTCACTAAAATACTGATATTCCTTAAATGTGCTTTACAATTAAGTTTAAATATTCACTTTTTTTAAGTTTTAAATATAAGCATAACTTGTTATCTCATAAGAAAAAAAAATTTAAAGTTTTGAGAATAATTAGTAATTGATTGTACATATTTTTTTATAAAATTATATTCAAATCTGCTGGAAATGACTGCCACAAAAAGTTTAAATCGTATCTCAAAACAATGACAAGAATATTGTTGGCGAAGAAGGGAAAGAGGAAGAAGCTTAACGTGTGTGTGTGTGTGTGAGGGGGGAAGGAAAGAGAACGTCTTTCTCAATTTAACTTTAATTACTTGAGAACCCAATTCAGTCCTTGTCTCATATGATATTTCCATTTTTAGCTCGCATTTTATACTATTTTTTCCATTCTATTCTTTTTCTCTTTTTTCTCTCTGTGATTCAACCCCTATTAATTCTGAAGACTTCAAGGTAAATAATAAATTAAGGATTTAAAGATTAGCTATTGATTACTTTTAATTGAGATTTGTCTTTATTTTAAACCACTATACATTTTTATTACTATAAATAATTTATGTGGGTCTAAGATTTAAGTTATACATAAAGACTTGCTTAAATATTTTTATTCCAATCAAATTACTGATTAATCATTAGTTTTATTCCAATCAAATTGTTGATTTTTTGTCTCCCATTTTTTTAGTTCGGAATACTTTTTTTCTGGTAATCAACACATAAAAAAACAGTCATATGTTCTAAGGTTTTTTTGATATTTTTCTGCTTCTTTTTGCCCTAAAACTGCACAAGTTTCCATAAATTATGGTATTAAATTGTTATTAGCATTTTATTTTCCCTCTTTGTTTTGAATTTTCATGGTAAGAACTAAATAGGTTTATGACAAATATTATTCAATCATTGTAACTAATAAAACACTAAAACAATTCACATTACTTGTGTTGGGAATGCGAACTAAGTCTCACATTAGTTGTTGAAAAGGTTGATAGCTTACATATAAGGTGTACGGATCTCTTAATGATGTAAGATCTTTTAGAAAAAGTCGTATGGGCTTATCTCAAAGCAGACAATAACACACCATATTAAGAGTATCATTGGGTTGTTTTAGCCCAACAACTGGTATCTGAGTTCAGGTTCATAGGGACGAGTATGTCGATGGCAAAATAATGGTGCAGGGGCTCGGTTTGCTTAACCTAGAGACGTACACACAAAAAGAAGCTAGTTGCAAGTTTCGGTGGCAATAAATACTCTAACTATATAGGTGGCACGCAGTGAATCTCGAAAATTGACATGTGAATCATAGCAGTAGACCATGTGGAACTGGTTCGAGAGAGAGACTCGTGGATCGCGTGGTAGTGGGCCACGTGAAACATAGTTAGAGGGGGAGATTGTTGGATGTGCAAACAAAATTCCACATTGATAGCTGAAAAGATTGAGAGCCTACATATAAAGTATAGGGATCTCTTAATGAATGAGGTCTTTTGGGGGGAAAACGCATCAATTTGGCCCAAAGCGAATTATATCATATCATATTAAAAGTATCATTGAGCCGTTTTAGCCCTATAACTTGACATGATGACAAAAATTAATTTTACCTTAAAGTTGATGGTGCACCATGGTCGTAAAATCCCGAATGTGCCTAATTACATAGAATACAAATTAAAAATACTTTTACAAGGAGAAAGAAGAACGATGCAAATAGAGGGAAGAAGAAGTTTTAGGTTTTGTTTGGGAATGGTAATTCTAGATACGAAAGATATCAGGGATAAAATAATAAATGGTCAAATTAAAAGTGCTTATAAGTTTATAAGCACTTTTTGTAATTATCAAACTCATAAGATAAAAAGTATTTATAAGCTGGTTTGAGCATCATAAGTTTGTCCACCCCCTCTAAATCCTAGATTTACCTCTATTATTTGAGACAGAACTTTTCTGCTTTTGATTCTACATGAATAATTACCTCAAGTACTTCAAAAAAATTACATTTCTATACTTTGAAATTTTGACCTAGCTAGCTTTTGTCTATTTGGCTGCAGTGTTATGTGTGTTCTCAATGTTGTGTATGAGATTTGCATGGATGGTGAGGCCTCGCAATCATATGCTGCTAGCTTGCCACGCTGCAAATGAGTCTGTGCAACTCTACCAACTTTCCCGTTGGCTAAGGCATCAATGGTATGTACCTCCACTGCATAGGTTTTTTTTTTTTTCCCTCCCAATTTGGAGGATGTGTAGTGTATTCACACTTTTCCTCCGGCGTGACTCGAACCCAGGACCTGACAGTCGTGGGTGGAATTGAAGGAAACTGCATATAATAAGAGTGAAATAATAATCTTAAAAACTGAGCAAATAAAATTTAAGAACATGTTAAATTGCAATGACTGCGTAAATATTCATTTACTTCCAGTAGATATATTAAATCCTATTACATCATCACGTGCTATAGGTTTGATAACGCCCTTCAAAGTATTCCAAATACTGATTGGGAGAAAGAAAAGAAATGTTTAGGACTGCTGGGAAAATCATTTCACGCCCCTTTTGTTTTTCAAAAAGTGAAAATAATTTTTATTTGGTTAAGAAAACATGTTTGGTGTTTAGAGAATCAAAAATGATGGAGTACTTTCTTTTAAAGAGGAAACAGAAAGTGGGACACACTCATTAGGTTGTGCTAAAGCCTTTGACTCTTGAAATCATCTTCTTTCTTCTCTTTCACTTAGCCCTTGAACTTTTCTCTTCTATTTTAGTTTCTTTTTCTGTAGCGAAAATCTGATGATTTTTTGTGTTATGGAATTATTTGTAGGAACCTACAGCAGAAGGAAATCGTAGCAGCTACTGACTAACATAGTACTTCTTCTCAACCAAAAAAAAAAAAAAAGAAACTCCGTAGTTTCCACTTTCCACAAGTTTAGTTATTTACCAAAGAAAATGTAAGCATAAAAAAACCCTTTTAGGGGTAATTTGGTAGGGTGTATTAGGAAAAATAATAAAATAATAAATATATTAGCTTTGGCATTATTAATCTCTTGTTTGGTAGTGTTTTTCAATATATGTAAGCTAATACATGTATTAATTATATATCATATTCAGTACTATTCGTATACATAGCAAACCATAGCATTAGCAATACCATAATGTAAAGATAGAAGTGCCCTTTCAAAAAAAATTCAAATCCTTTCTAATGCATGTGGAAGGTAATTTTTGTAAACGAATAATTTGTAAAAAAAAAAAAATATATATATATATATATATATATATATATATATATATATTATGCAATGCATGTTACTTTTAATGTTCAAACCATATATAAGAAATAATCCTAACATAACTAATCTTAACATTACTTATCCCAACACTAGCTACTAATATACCTTATTCAGTATTATTCTTATACACCCTACCAAACAACCCCTTAGAGGTGGACCATCCATTTGTAACGGGACATCATTATTTAAAACATCCTCAGCTATTTGAGAGATTGTTTAGTGTGTATTACAGGGTTAGGAAAACCAATTCCAAGTGAAGGTCCATGTATGCAGTGGCGAAGCCAGGAATTTCCCAAGGTTGTTTAAACTTGAAAGAAGTACAAAAAAAATCTTCGATAAAGGGTGTTCAATATATGTTATATACCTCTAAAGCCTAATATTTTGCCTGTATACACAATATGATTTTTCGACGAAGGGTGGTCAAATAGCTTCGCCCCTGCATATATGCTAGTTTCAATTAGCAAAAAAAAAATAAAGAGTTAATACCCTTAAACCTCCTTTAACTATCAACTTTTTGCGAGTTACTTACTTAAACTATGGAGTGCCTAAAACCCCTCGAACTATTTTCTCATTCATATTGAAACCCTCTCGTTGCTTACCTAGCATAATGTGTGTAGTAACTCGCTGAAGAGCGCGTGAAGGCTGAAAAAAACAACAAAATGACCAACCTTTTCAACAACTAATGTGAATACTCAAAAATAAATCAAAGTCTTATCTGAATTGCTCGTTAGACTATTAAATCAGACAGTGCAATGACATGAAGAGAGTTTACTGTAAATACTTCAACATTGAAAAAAAATCAAAGCAGGTCAATAGAGTGCTGCTTATGAAAATGCTACTTTCGCATCATAACTTGTGAAACTTGATCATGAAAGCAATCTTATTAATGTGGCATGCCTACATGCGTTAAATATCCAAACATGTCCAGAAACCCAGCAATTATCTGGCAATCACCCCGAAAAGGTGGTGGGGCTCCTACTATGCAGCAAAATAAAGGCCTCCTAATCTGGGTACAACACAGTAGTAGGCAGCAAAAAGCCTACTAGTCTATCAATGTGCAGAAAGAAATAAACTCACCAACATTAAGGTGACTCAGCCTCTAGAGATGTTGTCAGTTAATCAAAACTTCAGAGTTCCAGTTTTCAGATCTTCAAGACGAAAGAAAAGAAAAGTAAAGAGGTTAAAGCGTCCTTCCGTCATGAGAGGGCTTTCTTCACTTCACTTGTGACCGTCTGAGGTGGTTTCTCTGCAGGAAGGTTCACTACCATATTCTTTTTCGCATAGTAGTCAATTACCTGCACATCAAAACCAAAATATTTTGTTTACAACTCTGCGCAAAGGCAATCAGAAGACGGGACCCCACTTTTGAACAACATAAATGGAACCTTACTTAAAATTGGATTGCCAAAAGTTATTTCTTGTGGAACCAAAACAAGCTAATAAATTTATGAAACAACTATGTAACTACAAATAATCTAAGTTTTGGTGTGAAAAGTCTAGCCTAAATTGCAGCATGAAAAATCACTCTTGACAATAATAACATCAATGTGATTAAGTTTGCCAAACAGATTGTAAATCAAGTCCAATGCCAAATACAATTGTTAGTCTGGCAGATGCTTTTCCAAACAAGATCTTAGTCAGTACAGTCATGAACAATTCCAAGATAAGTTTGAGATCAACTCTAAACCAAAGCAACTAGAGCTAAAAAGAAGTATACCGGTTCAGTTTGCCTATGGAAGGATTCCAGCCTTGACTTAAGAACAGCAGCGGTGTCATCTTTGCGTTGTATCAAAGGCTCTCCAGTGACCTTCATGAAGACAAACCAATTGACTTAGCCTCATGCCTAAGAGAAATACCCCTAATAGACAGTTGTGAAGCTAAATATTTCCATTAGAAATTAAAGTTGCATGACAGACAATTAAAACTAGTAATTAGTAAAAGAGCCTAAATTGTGTATAGTGTAGATATCATGCCATGAAAAATTTGAAGGGAGGGGATTGTACGATCATTACAAGAAAAAAGAGAATTCATGGTATAAGTTTACATCATCGATCCCAGGAACTTTAGGAGGTGCAAACTTTGTATGGTAGCTCCTGCCACTAGCTGGGTGGATCCAACGCCCGGTAATTCTCTCCTCCAAAATAGCATCATCAATTGCAAAATTAAGAACTTTATCAACTTTGGTCCCCCGATTTTGAAGCATCTCATCAAGCTGTATGAATATAGAAAGGCATGAATCTGGAGATCTCATAGGAACAATACTAACACAATAATCATAAAGCCAATAAAAGTATATATTTTCAGGTGCCTAAGGAGGTAGGAGACCTTTTCTGCTTGCACCACAGTCCTTGGAAATCCATCAAGAATGAATCCTTTTTGACACGAAGGTTTCTTCAATGCTTCATCTATTATCCCAACAACCAAGTCATCAGAAACAAGTTCTCCCTGAAATGAAAAGAGCAAAACAATATTACAATGACAATGAAAACCAAGTCGTCAGAATATTTTACGATTGAAGTAGGAAGAGAATTGTAATTAAGAACCAAAAAAAGAACCAGTTTGACCTTATCCATGGCCTCCTTTGCCTTAATTCCCAGAGGAGTTTTGGCAGCGACAGCAGCTCTCAGCATATCACCCGTGGCTAAATGACATAAGCAGTACTCATCCTTGATAACGGGAGATTGTGTACCTTTCCCAGATCCAGGTGGGCCTGCAGAATACATCTATTTAGAAAACTAAACAACTACAATATTACAGAGAAGCTACTTAAGTGTTTTAATGTTCCAAGAATATAGCAAACTAGCAGAGAACCATCGCACATTTACAAAGCAGTCCATATAAGCATGCCAATGCAACAACTACAATATTGAAATGAAAGCAACTCTGCCTTTTATGTCTCAAAGGCCAAAGCTAAGCAACTCTGTTTTTATGTCTCAAAGGCCAACGCTACAGCAAACTAAGCTGAATTAACTTTAAGTCCATGGATGAAATCATTTCTCCAGGAATCCTAAAGCCAATGGAGAAACACAATTGCTATGAATTAACGAATTGTCAAATAGAAGGGAAAATAAAAGGAGAGAACACATCAAAAAGTTTTGATAGAGAAATTAGCTCCACACCTAAATTCATTTTATCAAAAATCCTCAAGCGGGCAAGATTCCTCAACTAGGCAAGGTGTAACCCATCTGGAGAGTACTTAAGTTAGACCAGTAATAGATCACCACACTTGATGACAAGAAAGGAATACAAACTCCTGTAATAGAAAACTTGCAGTTTTCAAATTTAGCAATATCAATACTTAGATATCTAACCCCTTTTGAGCTTTAAGAAAAAATCTTAGAGAACAAAAATATGGTCAAGAGTCTTAAGCAACATGAGAACATGAGAGGTGACTTGTTTGTCACCGCTCCTGTTGAAGCACGTGGCATCAATCGAAAAGCTCTTGCCTCCACTTTAACAAGTGGCAAGAGTCGAAACAAGTTCATCCCAACACAGTTTTGGGTCGCATGTGAGTGAGTTAGCATCTCCACACTTTCAAAGAGCTTTCAGCGAAGGAAAATGATTATGGCAAATAAAACAGTTTTTCTTATTGACAAATTGCAATCCAAAGAGTTTATAATGAGCTTTAAGAGAGAATAGTACTGCTACTTCCTGCTAGTAATACCAAAAGTCAAACTAGACAAAAAGCAAACACTTTCATGGGCTTTCATCAACAAAGAGTAATGTCAATGCAAAGACGTAAGTAAAGTTACACTTTTTGGCTCTAGGATGGCAAGAAGAGCTGCAGTGCATGGTGACTAATTGCAAAGCGGAAACTGCCGATGCTCAGAATGGCTATAGCTGGTAGTGTGTATCATCTTTGGAAAGAAAGAAACATGAGACTTTTCCAGGGAAAGAGTAGGAGCACTGAGCTTATTATCAAAACTATTATCCAGGAGATCTTCAATAGGGGACATTCAATGCCTAAGTTAGAGTTGAAGTTGCAAACCCTGAACTTTTATCCTATTTAGTGTGTTAGCCAGGGTCTGAAGCTTAGATGTGACAGAGTTGTGTTCTACTCAAAGTGTGTGTTGTAGTGCTGCAGATTTTTTTCGTTGTAATACTTCCAGTTGGTTAATAAAATTTGTTTTATTTACCCAGAAAAAAAAAAGATACAATTTAACATTTTATCAAACTGAAAATTAGTTGAGTCAGCCAAAGACCCTTGGTTTAAAAAGGATAATATAAGTAAGGGAAAGAAATATATTTGAGCAAGCAAACAGAGCATATATAAATTTCATCTCAATCAAATGAGATAGAGATATCAAAATTCTTTATTTTCGATCTTGCCAATCTACAGCATCACAACAAAAAATGTGCCACTTTCACTTGTCGAGATTCGCCTTCTTGAGCCGAGGGTCTATCAGAAACAGCCTCTCTAACCAAGCGGGGTAGAGGTAAGGTCTGCGTATACACTACCCTCCCCAGACCCCACCTGTGGGACTATACTGGGTCGTTGTTGTTGTTTTCAATTGTCGAGATCCTCAAGTCATATCTTTTTCTTTATCCCCTCCTCGAAGCCAATTTCATGCAATATCGAGAAAGGATGGAGCATGCCTTCTACTCAAGCCTTCTTGCATCAAAATAAGGCAAATCTTACCATCTTCCTACTCAGTTCTTTTTCATGATTGATGATACTCTTTGGCACCTATGAGCATCATATTATTTTTCCTGACATTTCTTTTTCCTTTTTCTTTTTTTTTTTTTTTTTTTGATAAGTAAGAGGTAACGACTCCTGATATTCTGGCTAGTTTCTTTATCTTTCCTAACCATCTCAACCACATATTTGTAAACAATCCCGCAAAATTTTCATCATTGATCCATGTACTTGTTTTCAAAAAACGAATAAAAATAATTCTTTTGCAATGCACAGTGAGCAACTTCTTCCACCTTATGATTCAGGAATTCTTCTTTCAATCTCACCAAATAATCATTTTTAGTCTTCACTTCCTCGCTCAACAAAGTTTGATCCAGTATCCCTATACCTAACCAGAGATCTTCTTCAGATCCTTTTTGCGTATTTTTTAAAATGAAGAAGGACTTGAGAAGCTCCCACTCTCAATGCAGTCCCACAGTTCCAAATTCCATGAAGGACTCGCTTTCAAACCCAATCAAGAAACCAGCTCAGTATTAACTAACCCAATTTTCCATGTGAGTCTGTTGATTCAATTAGATTAGGGGGCAACTAAGAGTTCAGATCTCGTGAGATCAGCTTAACATAACCTATGAAAATCTTAGACATAAGCATTAAAACAAAATCTAAAAGCAAAAACAAAAAGTGGAGGTCCCCTTGCTACTTGTAAAAAGCACATAAATCATCGATTTCCCAGAAATTTCATCTCCTTTCCAGTGTGTAAAATCACCCCCAACTCAAACAAAACAAGCTTCCACAAAGAAAATCTTAAAACAAAATGCACAAAGAATAAACTACTCCATTAGAAGTACAACAACAATGACGCCTCAATAAGCAGTGGAGCGCATTAAATTCTTTACACCCGTTTCTCCCCATTTCTTTTTTTCAGAGATACTCCATAAAATGAAAATTAACAAATTTCGATGCAGGAAAATGGCTAAAGTCTGGATCTGACAGGGAAACGTATGAAATACTCAAAAGAAACAATTTCGAGTCCAAACAAATGCGGAGATAAAAAAACAGAGCAGAGATGAATATAGTAATAAAGGGAGGTAAGTATTAAATACCGATGAGAATAAGACGTTTGTCGGGCTTAGAGGAGCACCGCATGCGGCGGAGGATCTCAGTCGTGATGCTCTCCGATGGAACATCCTCCAAGTTCACTGAATTCGACATAATTCTACTTCCAAACCTCTCTTTGTCGCAATGGATTTGTCAAGAGAACGAGAGATGCTGCCTACTCTCTCAGCCAGCGTTGGGTTTCGGACCTTCCAACAATCCAAAACTCGACTAGGATTTAATAGTCAGAGGTTTTGTAGTATTTTTTATAATTAAATGTCTAGATACCCCTGAGCTATTAAAAATAAACAATTTAGAGCCCGTTTGGACATAAGAATTTTTACATTTTTTTCGAAAAATTTTCACTTTTTTCGAAATCCGTGTTTGGCCATAAAATTTCTAACTTTTACTTAAACATAAATTTAAGATTTTCTCGAAAATTTGAAAAACTCCAAAAGATATTTTTTCACAATTTTCACTCAGATCACTCCCAAAACTTGAAAAATAACCCAAAATTATATTCATGTTTAAACACAACTCTAATTTTTAAATATCATTTCACTTGGCAAAAATTTCACTTTCTTTTGCAAATTTTACAATTCTTATGTTCAAACGCCCACTTAATAGTCTTCGACACAAAGTTGCCTTTTCCTTCGCATAGTAGTTTATCTCTATATAGAGTTGTTAATATAGGTCGGGCCGGGTTATTCCAGCCCAATCCACGTGGGCTTTTACAATTAACAGGATGGGATGGGCTAGGCCACCATTTTGATGGGTCTTATCCCAGCCTTATGTGGGCCGCGGGCCCCGCCGGGCCTGCCCATCATTTTTTAGAATATAATTTTATATTTTTTCTTTAAGTTCTAACCTAAAAAAAGATACATATTAAAAGTTAAAAAATATCTTATTGAAAAAATTTCGCAAAACTTAATAAATTTTTATATTGTTCCAATATATCACAATAAATATTAAAAAGGTAAAAAGCAAGACTATATTTCATTCTCTAAAAGTTAAAACTCAAAACAAACTAAGAGAACGTCCATGATGTTTATGGGATATCCAACACATCATCTTCATCAAATACATTTGAACGTTTGTGACAAGGTTGTCTTAACATCTTCACTTTCATCTATATCTACAATTCTTATGCAATATTACTTAGTTAAATATTAATAATAATTAAATTTTAAAAACTAATAATATTCAAATTCACATAAAAAAATATTACCAGTTTGAGTTTGGGAAAAGTCGTGTAGCCAATTTCGAGTAGTAACAAGTGTTTGGACATTTTCATGATGAATGCGACTTACGTACTTTCTCAGAACACGCCCATCAACGCTAAATGTTGATTCCGATGTTACAATAGTAAAAGGAATACTAAGTACATCACGCACCAATACTGAAAGATCTGGATAGTTTCTAAAATGCTCCTCCCAATACATGACGATATCAATCTCTTGAGACTTCTCAAGATCAAGCTTTGGTTCCTTTAAGTAAAGATCAAACTCTCACTTTCCATCGCTAGAGGCAGTATAATTTTTACAGAAAAGGGCCAAATACCCTTATAGTAATCTAAATGATTTACTATCGAGCTTCGCTCGCCTATTTGTCTGAAATTACATCTAAAGTTATCTTGAGGTCTAAAATTACACCCGCGACTAACGGAATATTGTGTGGCCTCTTTTTTAATGAGCTGGCATAATTTTATTGGGCCACGTGGCACCTCAGTCCGGATTGAACAAACCCGCCCCAACTCCAATTGAACCGAGTTAATAAAAAGTAACACCCTCATACCATTCATCTTCTTCCTCACAATGATTCAAGCTCAAACAACACTAGAACTTAGCCTTCAGTACTTTGCTTCGCAGCAAATTTGCAATTCGAAATGTGAATTAAGGTTACCCCAAATCATCTTTAACCTTCTCAAACTTCATATTTACGTCCTTAAAATTGATTCCAATACATTTAAATCATACCATTCAATTTGGAGCAACAAAATTCAGATCAAGAGGTTTCAAATCGTGCAACAAGTCCCTTTAATAAAAAATTTGCCCACTTTTCTTCTTTCTTTCCACTGCCTCTTCAAATTGAATATCACCAATTCCTACAAAAAAAATAACACTAACTCACTGCTATTCTTAGAAGTGAGGAGGCTAGGGAGATTAATTTCTTTGAATTCTTCTTTACTGTCTTAGCCATCCATTCAAGACTCTTTATACCCAACTCGTAATTACTACATCTAATCCCAACCATCATCCTAAAAGCCAAAAAGAGTTGATCCCAACATTAAAAACCTCAACTTTGCTACAACTTTCGGAATTTGCAGATTCAACAGGAAAATCATAACCCGTCCTAATTTCAGATTCTTGTGTTAGTGAAGAAGAAAGTACTAATCTAAAAAATGAAAGATGATTCGAGCAGTACTAGTGGTAAATTAGATGAGTCATGTGCATTAGTTCTCTTTGGAAAGATAATAGTGGCGAAAATCAAATTTCTATTCCAAAAAAAAGGGGCGGGTCGAAATCTGGGGCGGGTTTGTTCAATCCGAACTGAGGTGCCACGTGGCCCAATAAGATTATGCTAGCTCATTAAAAAAAGGGGTCACACAATATTCCGTCAGTTGCGGGGTTAATTTCAAACCTCAAGATAACATTAGATATATTTTCAAACAAATAGGTGGACGGAGCTCGATAGTAAACTATTTATTAAACAATAGGGGTATTTTTTGCCTTTTTCGTACTTTTTATATTTTATATATTTTAAATAAATATATTTAATAGGCCCATGGGCCAGCCTAGCCTCAATCAAGCCTCACGGGCCACGGGCTTATTCGGGTCGAGCTTAAAAGCCTCATTTTTAAATGGGCTCCAAAAATTCTAACTCATCCCTACAAAATCACGGGCTGGGCTAGGCTGGCCCAAAGCCCCTATTGACGACTCTATCTATGTACCCTTCCATACCAGCGGAGCTCCATGTCAAATATAATTATACCAAAAAAAAAAAAAAAACTAGTCCAATACATCACTGAATTCCTGCTTGATGTTAAGAAACTTAGCTCAAATTAATAATATGAAACAAGCAAATAGACAAAAATGTAGAGAGAGATGAGAGGTTTTTATTACCTCAATGTATTCAAGTGTGTACAATGTGATGCCCAAACTCTCTATTTATAGGATGATATTGAGGTAATACAAAGGGATGTCATGAACATGGTATTAGCTATTTAGATCATGGTGGAAGATCATGGAGGGGGTTATGGAGGTGTGGGAGTTACAAAAATAATTGTAAGAAGTAGTGGGAGGTTAATGGAGAAGAGTAGTGGGAGTGACTTCTTTAGGAGTTATAGACATCCACTAATATAATTATAATATTT